TAAAAAAATAACCTTTTTATAGTTAATCGAACTAAATTTTTCCACTTAATCTTTTTGTCGCCAAATCTGGAATTAGTCAACAGATCTGGAAATGGGACCCGGGAATGGTCGCCAGATGGGGGAATGAGATCTAAAAAGGGGAAATCGTTAATTTGATGACCCCTGATCAGGACAAAGGAAAAAAATTTTTAAAATTAAATTTTTCTTTGGAAAAAAAATTTGTCTTTTTGGGAAAATCCCCCCGAACAAAAATAAAAAAGGCAAAAATTTTTTAAAAAAAAAGTTTTCAAAATTCCGGCCTTTTCCCAAAGGGGGAAAATTGAGTTCGAACCAAAACTTTAATTTTTTAAAAAAAGGTTTTATAAAATTTTCAAAATTTACTTTAAATAAATTTCCCTTTTATTTTTATGTTTTTAAACCAGAGACCTGAAAATTGGGCTTTAACCCTTTTTCTTTTTTTTTAATTTTAAATTCAAAATTTTACTTTGGAAAAAAATTTGATTTTTTTAAAAAAAAAATTTTTTGTGAAATAAAAGGAAATTGGCATTCCCCCCTTATTTTTAAGTTAATTTTTAAATTTTTAAAATTCCCCAAAAGGCCCCCTTTTTGAAAAATTAAGAAAGGGAAAAATAAAAAATTGGGCCCCTTTTTTTTAAATTTTTCCGATTATTCCCCAATTTTGGTAAATCAAAAACCGTAAAAAAAATACACTTTATTAAAAAAGTTAGGGGGTTTTTTCATACACCACATGAAAAAACCATAACTAAAGTTTGAAATACCTTAATTTAGAAAAAAATGAAAATTTTTGGGGGGTTATATATTTTTCAATTAAGTGTTTTAGTTGCCCCAAAATTTTTTCCCAAATTTACTCTATATTTCATGTTGCTTATGTCTTATTTTAATAAGTATGTTTAAAAGATACGCGTAATGTATAATGTAAATAAATTTTTAAAAATTTTTTTCTACTTTTGTGTTTAAAAGAATATTTATAAGTTATTTTTTTTATATTAAGTTAATAAATATTTTTAAAAGAGGATAAAACTCTGTTCTTGACCTCTATTCCCTAACTGATACATTGCCATGGAAATCGAATTGTTTCAAATATTTCCTGCTAGGTGGCACCCTGAATCATATTTAGATTGGTCTGGAAAATCACGGCTACAAGGTTGCCGATTCCCCCTTGGGAAAAAGGTTACGACGGGGCTTTTTATAGATCTTGGGGGACTCTTCAGACTTTTTTACTTTTCGATCCCCCCAGCCCGGGTTTAATTCAACACCTCAAATCTGGGCCGACATAGAAGATAAAACCAGTTTATCCTTTAAGGGAAAATCCTTTTCCCCCCCCCATCCAAAATTTAGTTTCAATAGATCCCTTCTCATGTCAATATCTACAGAAATGAATTGGCTGAAACTCTTGCAAAGGAGGGACTAGATCATATTGTTCCTTACACTTCAGAGCTCACACATTTATAATTATTCTCAAGGCAAAAGGCCCAGAATAAAGAAAAATGATTAAAACCCCCATTTCATAAATGGTATAAAGGCGCACACAAGACCAGTTCTTTTTTTTATCTCTTCCTTGTGATAGACAGTCCAACACTTTGTAACGGGGCTTTTTCGCGGGGGCTTTCAACTATAATCCTCTTGGGGGGAAACTTTTTGGGGTAGCCCTTCCCTTTAAATTTTACAACCATCCCTCTCAGGGGAAAAAACCATGAGATCAAATTGGTTAGTGTATATATTATTTAGAGTTTAATAATCCTGGGGCATATTTTTTTCCCACTAGAAGGGAAAATTAAATTGGAATCTAAAATTTTTATGATGGGGTTGATTAAAATGGTCTATTCAGTTTTGAAAAGGGTTATTTAAAATATAAAGGGGTTTTTCTTGCTTTTAAACACTCCCCAAAGGGGTTTCCCTTTATAGATTACTTGTTCGGAATATTATCTTGGATAATAATAAATTAGATTTATCATGAAGAATCTTGGTCATTCTTCGTTACCTCCTACAGCTTTAGGTAGACAAGATGATGAGGAAGCAGGGGTAAGATCATTACAACTTGTCTTTCCAGACTTGCCAGTGGGCACTTAAGAAGTTTCTCTTTTTCTAAAGGCAATAAGATGTTTCCTATTTGCCCTAAATGCCAGCCAGAACACGTTTCACATCAACACATCTTGACTGGACTGGGAAGATATCCATGATAGTTTACTTCTAGTATCGGACTTCATTAAAGTCAACGGTTACACTGATCTGGTCTGACTTCGTCTGATCAGATCGGGAGATTAGTAACAACAGCAGCAACAATCTTTTGCTTGTATGCATTATAAAAAAATAATTATGTCTACGAAAAATTGTTTTTCTCTGTTTTAATTTATAGTTATCAATTGAAACAATTTACTTGTATGTATACATACATTCAAAAATTTGACTGACTTATGACTGTTATTTCTGCATTAAAATGTTTTCAATTAACAAATTCAAGGAAGAATCAGTGGTATTAAAATTTCAAATATAAGAAAAGTGTCCCCAATTTATTGGTAAAAATTTCACCATTGTAATACACTACTTCAAATGATTTTCAGTAACATTTACTTGTATTGATTTAAGGTTTAATACAATACACACAAATATTTTTATCATCTATACATATAAATAAAAATGAAGTGTCTGTTTGTAATTTGAAATTAACATCTTTTTACTAAATGCATTTAAAAGTATATACGGTACTTATATGAAAAAATCAATTTTTAAAATTTTTTCTGTCTGTTTGTTCCGGCTAATCTCTGAAACGGTTGGACCAATTTTGACGGAACCTCCACTGACAGATAGCTAATGTTATTAGAAGTAACTTAGGCTACTATTATTTTAGAAAACAAATTAGGGTTCCGAGAAAATAAAATTAAAACCAATGAAATAGTGAGCAATATCCCAATAGCAAATAGGGATTATTTATTTCAATAGGGATTATTTTTATTCAATAGGGACTATTTTATTTCACGAGCCTTCTGTCTTAACAATTTCTAGCAGTTATATCAAACTTTTCTGTTTGATTAGGTTATTGCCACTCACGACATTCCCCGTTCATCTCCTTTGATCCTAAAGATTTTAGTCCTTAGCTGCATTATCAAAGATCATGCGTCCCTTTCACCCCCTTTCTTGCGGCTTCCTTTTTATTCGCGTTTCACCCCAATGCTACTTAGACCTATTTTGATTCTAATGATTTTATTCCTCATCCCATCGACAGTGTCAAAGGTCATGCGTCCCTTTTATACCTTGCTCAACAAAGAACGAAGGAAAAAAATAAATAAATAAAACAAAAAAGAAACATAGATTCACAAAGTAGAAGAATGTCATTATACTTATAGCATAGGTATTTCATTACGTTGAATACATAATTATTAAGTTTTCGTTAACTCTGCGAAGTGAATAAACACTTTTTTCTTAAATTCCACGTGGACGAAGTCGCGGGTAACAGCTATTTAACATACAATAAATGCATCAGAAAGTAATATTAACGTGTTACCAGTGGCGCACACAGGGGGGTCCTGGGGTCCGGACCCCAAAGCCCATGATTTTTTTTCCGATTGGTTATAATTCTAAGTATATAATACGTAAAATTTAATTAAATATTTGTTATTAATGATTAATTTTATTAATTAATGCTAATTATTTATTCAATAATTAGTTTTTTACTACTGTGTTTTGTTCCTGAAAATCGACAAAATCAAAAATAGCATGATACAAGAATGGTAAACTTTCAACCCCGGACTCCCCCCTGAAAAATTCATGTGTGCGCTACTGCGTGTTACACATCCAGATACAAATTATTTACACTATTTTAAGCGTTTATTACACAAAATTTGTAACAATGTGTTACTTTTGCTGAGCAGGTAGGTATTTTAAAAAATCTACCCACAAGAAAGTTACGGGGCGTCATAAATAATAATAACAATTTTAAAAAAATAAAAAAATTCAGCTATTATATCTAAAGAGTTAAAACTTAGCGAACATAGTTTTTTTGTTTAGCTGAGCTATGCAAAAAGCTTTTTTTTTGTTTAATTTACAATTCACGTAAAATTAACTCATTAAAAACTTCTTTATCCTTCAGTCTGCATTGTTTAATTTTAAATTTCACCCGTGCGAAGAACTGGTATACCAGCAAGTTTTAACATAAAATTTTCTCTCATTAGGGGTTTAAAATAAAATAACTTCTGTTTTTATTGATGATAAAAAAAGTATAGCAGGATTAAATAAAGGACCTTTCTCCATTTTAAGAGTACCATAGAAGTCCCCATTTTATGACCATGATGTTCTCATGTTTCACTATGTAATACAGGGTGGGTTTTTAAAACTAGCACTGCTCAGAGCCAGCTTCTGCTCGATCTAAAAACACAGCCGCAAACGCCATGAAACAAAACTCTGTAATGATGACATAGGACCTAAGATTCCATAAAATTTAAAAGAAAAAGTGTGTGTGTACTTATGTACACACGTTAGAAGTTATACTTCCTTTGGTGTAACAAGATTAAAATCTTTCTAAAAATCTTGAACAGGGCAAGCTGAGCCAAGGATGAAAGACGGTCACGAGCAGAGTTTAACGATACTAACCTTCAGTCAATCGGACCAGCCAAACCTGAGATAATCACGATTTAATAAATTTAAACAATAAAGGGACAATAGGACCAATAATATGGGGAGGGGGTCGAAGGCGAGAATGATCTGTTTCGTTCTGCATATTTCTAGACAAAGCATTTTCGTATCCATTCCTACGGAACGCAAAGCAAAGGTTCGCGGACACGGGAGTATAGCTCAGTGGTAGAGCATTCGACTGCAGATCGAGAGGTCCCCGGCTTAAACCCGGATGCTCCCTTCTTCAGGGAAGTGAAGCGAAATATTTTTTTGAGAAATTTGAAGGCGGAAATGATCTGCCCCATTCTGCATATTTCTAATCAAAGATTTTGATCCGTTCCTACGGAACGCAAAGCAAGGTTCACTGACGCGAAGGGATAGCTCAGTGGTAGAGCATTCGACCGCAGATCGAGGGTTCCCCGGTTCAATGGGGGAGTCTTCTTCTTCAGGGAAGTAAAGGAAAATTTTTTCTGACAATTTCAAAGGCGGGAAGATTTGTCCCGGGTTGTATATTTCTAGAAAAAAGGATTTTCACATCCGTGGGGGTTGGCCCCATTGAAAAAATTTACCTTATTTATTTCTCAAAGCCCCAAAAAAGTATTAACTTCAAAAAAAATGGAAGTACTGTTATAACTTCCCAAAAGAAAAATTGGCATGAATTATGGATATAAAAAGCAAAATGCAAACTTATGCTTTCATATGTGACAATCATGATCTTAATTCGGGGTGTAAAAACATGCAGACTGCTTCGAATTCTTAGCTAAGGGTAGCCAGCTCAAACAAATATACCACTAACTTTGCCACAACGCACATTACAGTTAAAAATGTTTACTCTCAATCATCCGTAGTTTTTTGTGAATTTAGAACCCGACAGAAAGCTACGTCAGGGGATTTTATTATTTAATTCTTTTAAAGAAATCATTAAGAAGATCGAAGAAGCATAGCCCAGGCAGAGGACATAAACCTGTATCAGAAGAGTAATAGCAGATGTTGCAACTGTAATCGTCAACGGATTACAGGGAACCATCGTTGATCCATACTGATAGTGTGGAATACTCCTTGTGCTAGGTTGCGTACACCTGTAGGTAATGTTGCGCTAATATTGCACGGTATAGTCTCTGGGAATGGTGTGTACCCCCATCCCACACACACGAAATCAAAGTTTTCATTTGCTGTGATACAGATGAAGTTTGTTGGGTACAAGCTGAAGGGTCGACCTCATCTCCTTCTAACCGTACTTCAAAATTACAAGGCTTATTGACTTAAGTATTGAACATTGCCACAAGTTTGCTTTGGAAGTTACTTTGATTTAAATTAACATCATTTTAGGACTATGCGAGGACCATGGGAGACGAATATCTTGACGTTCTGTTTGTAATGCAAACCTTAGGTTAATTTCAAGAGTTTTAAGATTTACTGGGTTGATTTCCCTGTCCCACTTTCACAGCATGCAGTGGCAGTAGTTGGATGCTCGTTCAAAACTAACGTTTAACAGCTTCCATTATATTCTGCATAAAGATCTTTGGTGAGATTTGAAGCCACAATTCGACTTGAACAGTCACTTGACACTGGAATTATAGATCGCTGGGATGATAGGCATGTGATTGGAAGAAACACTGAGAAGGATTAAGAAAATTCAAACCGAAGGCAATTGAAATAACTTTTCCCAGTAACTTAATAGTAACACAAGACAATAAGAGATCAAAGAGAGTTTATTAAGAGTTAAGAGTGGTGCTTCTTTCCCGCTTGTAACAGAAAGGGTGGCTTTGTCCTTTTCGTCCGTGTTTTGACAAAATCCGATTCTCCTACTCATCATTTTGGACAGGTGCTTTTCTCTGACACATTTGGAGCCTGGTGCACAGGGTCTATTCAGAACGGTAAAGCAGTTCTCTCCAGGGCACTAAAAGAAAAAGAAATATGCAACACCTTTTTTTTTTGGTGTTATTTACAGTGTATATTTAGACTACATTGGATGCTTACTTAAAACAAAATTAGAAATTATTTATTTAACACATCCATGAAAAACAAAATGATTCTTAGTTCTCCTTAATGGATCTGACTACGTTCGGGGAACCATGATTTTAAAAACACGCATAAATGGATAATTTTCATGATATTTAGTGTCACTTAGATTAGAATACATGTATAAAATTGTTTTAAGGACACTTTGACAAAAAATTATTTAAATACAATATTTTGGCAAAAAATTAACTTAGAATAACCTTTTTTCAAAATGTTCTCCTTTTGTGAAAAATGCTTCTATTATAATAATATTTTGCCTGTATATAGTTCAGACCTCTGTACAGAGGCTCAAATAAGAGTTTTGAAAATTCACATTATTTTTAGAGTTACAACCCATTGAAATAATTATCGGCGTTTTTATCTTAAAATTTCTCCCTTCTGTTGTCGTAAAGCATGGATAAACCCACTTCTAAGTTATATATTTCAAAAATTCTAGTTGAGCCTCTGTACTGAGCTATATACAGGCAAAATATTTCTATAATAGAAGTATTTTTCACAAAAGGAGAATATTTCAAAAATGGGTCATTCTGTGTTCATTTTTTGTCAAAATATTGTACTTAAATAATTTTTTATTGTAATACTATTCTTAAAAAAATTTTATGTACTTTTTCTAATCTAAGTGACACTAAATATCATAAATATTATCCATTTATACGCTTTTGCAAAATCACGGTTCCGAACGTAGTCGGATACCTTAAAGTAATAATAGAATATTCATGTAATGTTTATGATGAAATTAGAAATATAATGCATTGGAAACAGGCTCAACATCTCCGACATTACAATTTATTGGGAATTAGCTCATAGCTATTATACATGCAGCAGACCTTTCCTTCACAAGCAGTTGCGTAGCTACCAATAGGCTAGGCCGTACCGTGCACCTGGGCCCTCAAACTCAGGGGGCTTTCGGAACCCGACCATCAGCCAAAAGCCGAACTTGGAATAACTTCTCCAACATTTAAGATATAAATATAAAAGGTTGCAAAACAACTATAATCTTGGAAACTCAGTTGAAAGTAATTTCGTTTTTGTAAGAATTCCTCTAAATTCCTTTCGTTCTTTGTATAGTGTTGCAAACTTTACTTATTAAAAAGATTATATTACTTTCAGTTTTTTAATTTTTTTTATAAACTGTTACTTGAAAATAAAATTCAATTTCCGTGGAAAATCTTACCGTACATCTTAAAAAACCTGTACAGGAAGCAATCCCTTCCTGGTTACAATTTTTAATAACAGTATGATTCATAATAAATTTCCTGCTTCAACATTTCGCAATTAACTCGTATCTTCGACAGACTAACGTAATTTTATCTCCTCTCCTTTTCTCTTTTGCAGAGATGTTCTTTTAACTTAAATAATTATAATAAAATTGTACTGTATTTTCTTGTTCATGCAGATTTTTTTAGCTTCATTTTCTGTCTATCTCGGTGAACTCTATTTTGTAGTTCTAAACCTTCTAGTGGATGAGTTCAATTCTCTCAAATAAATAAATAAATAAAGAGTCAGGGATTACCCAAAGACGTTTTGGTAGTAGTAGCAGTACGTTTCTCCTTCCTTTCAACGTCAGCAAGTGCTCAAGCATGTACGAATCGTGCTGCATAAATTAGAAAATTAAAATTATGGATAAAAAAAGGAAACACAGTGGTGCGTTTAAGTACAAACAACACCAAAAAGCGAAGATAGTAAACAAAATTACCTAAAATTGACAAATTGGTTCGTCAGCCTTCTGACCCAAGTATTTCTGTTAATAGTGGCTTAAATAATGTGGTCACTATAGTGTTGCTTGAGAAGCCTATTAAAGAAAATTTGACGATTACTGCTGTTAAAGATACTCGCCGCAGATTTTAAAATGCATAGAAAAGACAGAATCCTTTAAGTGCAAAGCCCGTGAAACTGTAAGAAAATATGATATAATCCCCATTTTCAAGAAAAAAAGGCAAAGGAAAGTTGAAAAATATTTCGATGAATTAGCTTCTGATCACCGATTTCAAAACCGAAAAGAAATATTTAAAATTACTATTTTCAATAAGGTATACTAGACACAATATTAGCTCAATTAAATACACATTTTACTGGTATGTGTGAGTACAGTATGACAAATATTCAATTTCTTAAGGTATGTGACTACCCAAAATTCGCCGTTTTAGTGAAAATTTTCGAAATTTCTTTTATGTTTTTATTTTATAGCCCATACATTTAAGATTCCAAAAACACTCTATTTTTGTTTCTACGATATTTAGAAGCAATGTTGTAGCAGGATTAGTAAACCAGAAATGGAATTAACAAAAACCGGAACTAGATTCCTACACAAAATATTTTTAAGATATTGAATTAAAATTTTCAAAACATGTTTTATTTAGGTCTGTATGTGTTATGAATCAAAATCTAATCTCTGTGTATATATTTATGTACTTTATTGCTTTTTTATGAAAAAAAATTCTTAAGTTTTTAAAAAATCATGTTTTTGCATAAAATTTGGAATATTTGAAACATTTTTAGAAGTATTACAAATCTTTTAATTCCTAACACATATGAAGATGTTATTCATGTACTGTATAAATATTATTTGAATACATTTATTAGAATTTTATATAACTGCAATTTTCATCAAAATTTCACTAAAAACGACAATTGCTGTAGTTTATAAAATCATCAGAAAACAGTAAAAGGTTAAAAAAATGTTCGAATTCATTAAACATGAAGTTAAAAAGATCTTGACCTATAAGTGAGTTTAAAAAATCTACAATAAGTAGAAAAATTTTATTCTGTTTTAAAATTTTAGATGCATTTTCTGAGAAACTATGTTTTTCAATTTTTTGCTTCTCGGTAAAGTTCACTACAAGATTTCCTTTTAAGATATTGAATTTAAATTTTCAGAAAATGTTTTATTTAGTTTTATCTGCAGTCTAGACTATTATCTAATCTCTGTGTGTATGTTTATGTATTTAATTGCACTTTTTGTGAGAAAATAACATTACTTTCTTGTAAAAAATTGAGTATTGCATAAAAAATAACATATTTCAAAAACTTTCAAAAGTGTTACAAATCTTATAACTCTAAGCACAGATAATAATGTTATTTATGTACTACATTAATATTATTCGAATATATTAATTAGAATTTTTAATACAAACCTTACCGTAACTGCAATTTTTCACTAAAATTTCACTCAAAATTCCCAATATATCCAAAACTATTTTTAATTTTGTGGGTATTGGATATTGTGCTTGAATTCCTAGTTTTACGTCCCATTTCAAATAAAAAGTGTTTATTTAGTTGAAAATTTATATATTTCAAAAAAAGGTCTCCGAAGGTAGTCACACAAGACCAACATTTTTACTAGATGTAGATGAAATAATTTTGTTACAAAAAGTGTGACGAATTCCAAAATAAGTATTCTGATATCGTAGGACCAAACTTTTC